AACTTGTCTATGTGTGCTTTTGTCATTAGTCCGCGAGTTGTTAGCCTCCGGTTCAAGTACTGGTAACTAAAATTCACCAGTTTTTAGTTTAAGTGTTGGGCACTACCTGCGGAGACCGGCTTGAGGTCGTAAGTTTGATTATAGAGATTCTCAAACTGGGTTTCTAATTCTTGCTGATTAACCTTTCGGCCAGGCATGCATGCTTCAAGTGGAGCTTTATCAAGTGTCAGAGAGGAGTAGTTGTGTACGTACCTCTCTGGATCTTTGGGGAGTCTTGACTGTGGTTATTCGAGTTGCTTTTTCATTATAAATGCCTCAAATGGGGGGAGGGGGCATGGTGGCACGCGTAGGTACAGGCTCACGCCGCGCCAGCTACCTGCGCCGATCCCGCCTCCGGTATTCTTGATTCTGTCCTGATACCGGCTACTGTTGGGTGGGGGCGAGAGAGTGTGTGTTAGATGCAGCGCAAGTCTACTATCACTTAAAACCAATCCACGATCAAGTCATCGTCCCCTGCACCGCCCTCTTGTAGAGTATACGGTGGACTTCGTCGAATTGTCGAACGTCGAACTGTCACCTTTCCGGCCTGTCTGGACACCTCTGAAGTCGCCAAACTAGAACTGGTGCAACAGCCAGCAGTGTAGATTTGACGCCGGTCTGCTTCTGCACACTTGAATGGCACATACGGTATGGCGAATGCTGCAAGAAAAATTCCGCAATTTGAAAAAGACCGATAATCACTCGCAAATCAAAATTGGGTAGGGTTGCAATACTGTTTATCATGCAGTCCACACTAGGATGCCAACGCTGTGATGAACTTCTTTCTGACCGCTGCGAGAAAGTTGATTCTTTAAAAAATGACTACTTAATTAGTACGCATTTTTATCATTGATTTTGACTGCCTTTATAAATTCAAATATATTTTATGCTGCACGAAAAAATCCTCTCTTATACTTATTTGATAGCAAATTACGCCTTCTTTAAATTTTATCCTTAAAGGAACAGGTTCCTTCGGTTTTAAAAAATTTCTAATTTTGAGTTTTTTTACGACTGTGCGGTGTTCATTCATAATACATCGTATGCAACAATTTGTTAATGCTGCTCCTGGTATGTGGAGCATAATCCATGTTTATTGCGAAATTCTATGACAGCTATGCAACCACTTCCTCAAACTGTAGGCAAAACGTGCTTTTCCTCAAACAGGATGAACACAGCATTCAGTCTGCAAAACTTGAATTCAGTTCTAGCAGTCGGTAGGTTTGAAAATCATTCGGAAATTTAGAAAATTGTCTAAACCGAAGGAAACACTTCCTTTAAGAAAAAAATTTAAAGTAGGCGTAATTTTCTATCAAATAAGCATAAGAGAGGTTCTTTCGTGCATGCACTCCATAAAATATATTTGAATTTATAAAGGCAGTCAAAATCAATGGTAAAAATGCATACTAGATATGTAGCCATTTTTTACATAATCAACTTTTTCGCAGTGGTCAGAAAGAAGCTCATCACATAGTCGGCATCCTAGCATGACTGAAAGGAACTGAAATTGGATTACGTGATAAATAGTATTGCAACTCTACTCAATGTTGTATTGCGATTGCTTACCGGTCTTTTTCAAATTGCGGACTGCTGCTTGCAGCACTCGCCATACTCTACTTAGTTTTTAAGGGAGAAGGGGGATTAGCAGGTTTTAATAATGAAATTGACCTGTTTGTGAAGAATTCGTGGCCTCGGTTGGATTCGAAGAGGAGGCTTTAGTACAGCCCGCTGAACACACCAACAGCTGCGAATTTACTCACATCTGAGTCAATTTACCCGCCCAGCCTATTACACATATAGGATCTACCAATACGGAGTAAATTCACGGTTCTCGGCGGGCCTTTGTAGCGCAGTTGGTAGAGCGTTGGCTGTACTAAAGCCTTTTCTGCTGATGTGTGTTCCTATCCCACCCACGAACGTTTCACCATCGGGTCAATTGAATAGTCGGAGTCAATGGTCGAGATTTCAGTACAAGAGAACTGTACGTCATAACATAATGAGTAACTTCAAGTAATGAACATGTGCACCGAGCGCGGCACGTTCCTAACAATTGTTGGAGCAAATTACGGAGTTTGTATAAATGTAAACCCCTTCTCATAAATTGAAAATATCTCATAGTCAAGCAAAAAATTATTCTTCTGTTCCATAACGTCATATGACTGAAGCATTTGCAGGCGGTAATTACTGGCCAAAGTGCCCTTAAGGAATTCGTTTTTGGCCAGATGCTAAATAACGGTTAGCCTGCAAAGAATAACCCCATCCATAGTTCGCGGAAAAGTTACTCTGCAACCTGTTTTTGACCACGTTACTGGTGTTGAAGTTGTTTAACGGAGTAAGGACAAATAAGCAAAGTGGTCTCCTTGCATGATTCTGCACCGTTGCTTCGTATTTTATATTACCTCTGAATCGACAGGATACTGTCAAGCACAAGATACTTAAAAGAATTACTTGATGTAAATTTTTCAATTTCAACTAAAAGCAGCGTTTAATGATGAAATGCGGTTTACGGATCTACGTATCGAGAGCTCACCCGTTTTGAGGATGTTTGCAGCCCTACATCCTATTTTATGAAGGTTAGACTAGGTTCACATGAAGATGTCATAAGCAAGTTGAAATGTTAACCGGACTTTAGATATTTGAATGCGAAAAGGAAGAAGCCGAGGAGTTATGCGGCAAATACATGAGATAAGTAAAAATAAAGACCCAACAACACACCAGGCAGAATTAAAATTCACGTCGGGATGGCAAGCTTCGCTTTTCACGTACTCAGGCAACTGGTTGCACAAATTTAAAATATCCCAGCCTTTGAGTACTCCAAACGATAAAACCCTCATTTCAAGAAATAATAGCTGCGATTAATAGGCTCTGATAATGGGCTCCAATAATGGGCCAGTCAGAAACTAGACGTATATAGGACTTTATGCAAAACCCTGCTAGTAGGCAAATTACGCCTTCTTTAAATTTTATTCTTAAAGGAAGGGTTTCCTTAGGTTTAAGAAAATTTCTAATTTTGAGTTTTTTACGACTGTACGGTGTTCATTCATAATACATTGTATCCGTCAATTTGTTAATGCTGCCCCTAATATTAACAGCATAATACATTTCTATTGCAAAATTCTATGAGAGCTATGCAACCACTTACTCTAACCGTAGACAAGACCGTACTTTTCCTTAAACAGGATGAAAACCACAGTTAGTTTGTAAAACTTGAATTCAGTTCTAGCAGTCGCTAGATTTCAAAATCATTCGGCAATTCAGAAACTTTTTTAAAACCGAAGGAAACCCTTCCTTTAAGAATAGAATTTAAAGAAGGCGTAATTTTCTATCAGATAAGTAAAAGAGAGGATTTTTCGTGCATGCTTTCCATAAAATATATTTGAATTTATAGTCATTTTTTACAGTATCAAATTTCTCGCAGTGGTCAGAAAGAAGCTCATCACAGCGTCGGCATCCTAGCTTGACTGAAAAGAATTGAAACTGGACTGCATGATAAACAGTATTGCAACCCTACTCAATATTGGTTTGCGAGTGATAAGCGGTCTTTTCTATATTGCAGAATGTTTCTTGCAGCAGTCGCCATACTGTAGGCCTGGTCAAACATCGGCGAGTATACTGCGGCCTGAAGGGAGCGCCGAGAGGCCCGGACACCTAAGTTCTCTCGAGGTTGTCCAAGGATATTCAGACATCGTATGGGCCAATGTCGGTTAGATGTGTGTAGGCGACAGTGGCATCACTTATGCAGGTAGTGTTTTTACGTATTCACTCGCCGCACAGCTCTTTCCTAGCCTATATGTATGCGCGCACAATAAGAGCACCTATCAATCATGCACCAATCTGACAGCGAAATGTGTCGGTATCTGTGATGCAACACAGAGGCTTTATGTCACACCAACCACCATATCCAGTTGGCTGACAACTTCGGACAGACAGTTGATATATAGGACGAAGGAAATAAAAACCAGCGCCGATACTTAATTTCTCTGTCTGCGGATGAACTTCCTCGCAATTCTAACGAGTAGTAGTTTGAAAGACCACCAAGTGATGGGATCAATCAGTTCTCCTTTCGAGTGAGGATCCCTGTGCAATGGCGCTTTCTTCATATGACCATCATAGCGGTCTTGTCGTGTTAAGTCAGAGGTGTGGTACATGCAAAAGACTTTTGGTGCTTTAAGCTACCGCGTCCACGTTACTCACCGGTCGTACTGACCTAAACCGTTCATCGAAACGCGTCGAATTTTGCAAAAAGTAATGACTCAAAAGTCTTTTAAGTCTGCTTTACTACCAACAGCATTTCGTGAAACTGGCACCTGTGCCTGTGGCCGTCTTCGTTTTTTCAAGCTCAACCGTAAGGAGATATGCTAAAATTAACTAAAATTAACTCTTTCTGAGTTGGCTGCCGAAACCCGACTTGTTCGCTTCCCATGTGACGAAGGTGTCGCCGGACAGCAACTCCTGGACCTTTCACTGACTGCTGGCGACGGCCCCGTCCTCTGCGATGTCTACACCTCATCCCCCGTCCTTTTGCGCCGCACTATCTTCTCCTCCCTGCACAACCTCTCTCATCCCGGGAGTCGAGCTATTGACAGGCTGGTTTCCGACTGCTTTTCCTAACCTGAGATGCACAAGGTCCTGAAAGCATGAACACAGGCCTGTCTCGGCCGTCAGATCCACTTGCAAAACAAGACTCCCATCAACACCTTCCCCAGCACCGATGGGAGGTTCAGCCACATCTACCTGGACATTGTGAGCCCCTACCACTGTCCAAGGTGTGTTTCTATCTTCATGCCTGTGTAGACTGCTTCATCCAGAGGCCGAAGGCCATCCCTCTGTGTGGAGACTTCAACTGTGGGCAAGGCCTTCCTCGTGCGTTGGGTGGCCATTTTGTTGCCCTTTTACCATAACAGCTGACCACAGTACTCAACTTGAGTTTCACTTCTTCCGGTATCTCCTCTCCTGTTTCGGCTATGCTCGTGACCGGACGACAGCCTATCACCAGGCTGAAAGTGTTATTTTCGAGCTGTTTCACCGAGGATCCGAATAACCAGTCGGACAATCTCACTCTGGTCCTCTCGACTATCCGCTCTGCCATTGAGCTTTGGTTCGGCCCCGCCATCCGACTTCCTGATGAGGTAACCTCTCAAGTCCCTCACGGTGCGTTCGAGGATCGGACCAACCTCCTGTACCGCATCAGGCAATTTACGCAAACCATCTCCTCGGTACCGCCCATTTCATCAGTCTCCGAGTCTTTTCTCAAGAGAGACCTGGCAATGTGATCGAGTTCATCGGCTTTTGGAACCACCTTCTGTTATAGCCGAGTGTGTTCCTGCGTCAATACCGCTTATGTCCCCAAGTTACGTGTTAGGAAGAGAATGCAAACAAGATAGCAGATAGTACTTTACTGTTACTAGTTCTGCTTGTACATCAGCGTTGT